TTTTGATTACACCTCTCGCACTCTGGAACCTGAGATGAGGAAGACAACTGCTCAGTTGTCTGCTTGAACTTGGCATCCTTAGTGGCACAATGATTACAGTAGCCGCATGGGATTCGAGATAAACTGTCAGCATTGGAATGTTTAAGGCCAGCACGATGGACAATCTCAAAATCATATGTACTTAACAGTTCAATCCATCTGGCCATCTGGCCTTCCGGTTTTCTGAACTCCATCAGCCAAGTGAGGGCCCCATGGTCAGTCCTGACTGTAAAGTGGACTCCATAAAGGAAGTGGTGAAACTGCTTGACAGAGGCTACAATTGCTAACAATTCTTGCCGAGTGGTGCAGTAGGATTGCTCAGCCCCATGGAATGTTTTGCTGTAATATGCAATGGGGCGTTCTAACCCATCCTGAACCTGAGATAGTACAGCTCCAAGGGCATGTCCACTGGCATCAGTATCCAATATAAACCTATCATTTAGATTCGGGTAGGCCAAAATGATATCCTCACAGAGTTTCTTTTTCAGTTCCAAAAAGGAACATTGACATTCCTTTGTCCATAAGAACCGGGATTGTTTCTCTGTCAATTTATGGAGAGGTCTGGCTATCTCAGCAAAATTCCGAACGAACCTTCGGTAATAAGAGCATAATCCAACAAACTGACGTACTTCCTTAACGGACGAGGGTGTTGGCCACTTCCTGACAGCTTCAACCTTCTTTGGGTCAGGAGTTATGCCTTCTGGAGTTACAATGTGTCCAAGGAATTCACACTTTTTCTTGAACAAGTTGCATTTCTTTGGGGACAAACGTAACCCAGCTACATCTAGTTTGGTAAGGATAGTATCCAGCTTGTTGATATGTTCTTCAAAAGATGCTCCAAAACAAATTACATCATCGAGGTACAGAATGCACAAGTCCTATAATCCGTTTGCAAATACGCACTCCATCAATCTTTGAAAACTTCCTGGAGCATTACACAATCCAAAAGGCATCACGTTAAATTCGTGCAAACCGACCCCAGGTACATAAAATGCAGTCTTTTCCTTATCTGCCTCATCCATTTCCATCTGCCAATAACCTGATTGGAGATCTAGAGTACTGAACCAGGAATTTCCACTGAGGGCGCTCAGTGAATCGTCGATTCTTGGCAATGGGTAGCTATCTTTTATAGTGACTTCGTTTACCTTGCGATAATCAACGCAGAATCTTGTGCTGCCATCTTTCTTTTTCACAAGTACCACAGGTGAACTACAGGGAGATGTTGATGGCGAGATAACCCCTTGATCTAGCATTTCATTTACTTTTTGCTTGGCGTCTTGATATTTTGAAAAGGGAAGTCGTCTTGGTGGCTGTTTTATAGGGTTGCTGGATCCAGTTTTGATCTCATGTTTTGATATGTTGGTCCTTCCTAGATCATCCTTTGATCTTGCAAATACTCCTTGATGTTTGATGAGGAGTTTGTGAAGCTCTCCTTTTTGTGCCTCATTCAATCTTGAGCAGCTCCTCTCATATAAATTAACAAGATGTTCCGGTATACTGGGCATAGAATGGCTTTGCATAACGTCAGGTTGCTCTTCCACCTCCATTACAACCTCTGCCTTCCCAACAACAGAGTGCTTATGTAGCCTAGTTGGTTCATTACTTGGATTCAAGACTCTTACGGGAATTACTTCTTTACCACTTTGTACAAGAGTCCGGGCAACTAATATATCTTCATGTTCCTTGGGTTCAATTATATATCTATCTCCATTGCTAGGTTGATCTACACCTATTCTTAGTACTGCTGGCACTATCATCTCACTCATGGCTGGTATTTCTGTATCTTCATTGACTGTTACATTGTATAAGCTCTTTGTCTGGTTTGTCTTACAAAATAAGGTTCTGTCTCCCAGTTTTATGGCTCCTTGCCCAACATCAAAAACGCAATGTTTATCATTCAAAAAGTCACACCCGATAATCCTATCTACTTCTATATCAGCTATAAGTACAGGATAATTGATTGAAGCGCCATATTCGAAATTGAAGGGTAAGACATAACTTCCCATTGGTGTTACCAAGTCTCCACTGGCCATTCTGAGCTTTTCCCGCACTTGTGTCAACAGCATGGGCCTTTCTGCCTTGGTGATTGCATAATAATGTTCAGGATTAAGGATGGTTTTTGCTGCTCCCGTATCAACTAGACAGTCTATTTCCTTCCCATATATACTAACAGGGAGGGTAAATCCATCATGTCCCGCATTCTCTAAAATAGGTTTAAGGGGTCTTTCTTTAATTGAGGCTGAATTACGACCCATTAATTCAGCTACATCCCGTTTCCCGAATGTTGGTTATTAAATCGTTGAGGCCCCCTTGGCCTGATCATTGGTTGCACGAAGTTTCGACAATTAATGGCTTTGTGTCCTTCATTTCCGCATGTGAAGCAGATAAGAGGCCTACTTTGGGGTGGTTGCCAATTACGTGATCTGGGCCTTTGATTTCCTTGGCCAGGTTGATTTTGGTTTCTTATTGCCTGTACATCTTTCATCAACTGATCAACGTTTCTGATTGTATCTTGTAATTGCCTGCTGTTAAAGTCAGGGTTGGGGTCACTCTGTTGGGCAACTCTCAGATTGACTTTCGGTTTACATTTCCTCTGTAGTAGTGCTTCACAGTCAAGTCCACTGGTGATGGCCTCCTCCAAGTTCTTTGGTTTGCTTCGGTCAATTTCAAACCTCAGTTCTTCGTCTCCTTGAAGGACATCAAGGAAATGGTCTTTTGCGAGCATCATCCTGGTGTCATGGTCTGCTGATGACCAGGCCTTGTGGACAAGCCGTTTTATTTCATGTCCAAGCTGGGGAAGTGTTTCACCTGGCTTCCTCCTTCTGGTTTTGAGTTCAAATTTGAACACTCTTTCTTGATTTTCAGGCTCAGACCTTTCTTGTAATCTCTTACTTAGAATCCCGAAATTGGAGCTCCCATCTGGTGTCAGCTCTGCTAGGGTGCTAAGTGCATCTCCTTGCAACACTGCTCACAATTCCAGCGCCTTTTCATCTTCGTTCCAGCCGTTCAGGCAACTGATCTTGTCAAAATGTACTTTGTAATTGTTCCAACTTATTTTGCCATCGAAAATTCCAGGTTTTCGAGTCTTTCTGGCAGCCGAAAACGATGTAGTGTTGTTGTTGTTGGTCATACTCAAAGACTCCCCTTCTCTACTTACTTTGGCAGCATGTGGAGTTGAAGCCGCTCCAAATAAATTCGGAGAAATTGAAACTGTCGTCCTCCTCATTTGACCATCATAATTTTGTGAAGTGGCTTCCAGCTCAATTCTTAGTCTGCGCACTTCTTGGTTATACTCCTTTATTTCGGATTTAAGGTCATAAATATCCTGCAGAAATTTCAGGTTTTCTTGTCCATAGACCTCTATCTCTGATTTAAGGTTATTGATCTCCCGCAGTTGTTCCAGTTTTTCTCGTCCATACTTCTCTTTTATAGTTTGGATCATATCTTTATTCAGTCGGCATTCCTCCCCTTTCTGCTCATTTATCATTTCTAATTCCTGATTTTTCATTTCCAGTCTACTGATATCTCTGACTACACTATCATTTTGTGCTTGCAAAGCTGACACTTTCCTCTGGTATTTATTCCCCGGCCTGTTGGTTTAATACCTCAATATCTTCTAGGAGTTCTCCAGCTCTATCCATTGCTTCCTGCTGTTCTTTCTTTGCTTCATCCTGTGCTTTATTCCTATTTTCATTTGCCTCTCTAAGTTCATTTACTAATGCCATATTTCTGTTGATTAGATCTTCCATTTTCTTGAAGTGTATCTCCTCGTCGACCTCAACCGTTGTCATTTTTGACTTATCTTCCTTTTTTTCTTTTGAAACTTCTCGAAATGCTTTTGCAAGAATGCCTGTCTAATTCTAAGCATAGAAACCACACTATCATCCAAGCATTTGTCACAAAACCCAATTACATTTAACCAAAGCTACATTTGGCAATCAGACATTTAGGCAAATAGATCCTACGGACACAACTGGATCACCTTGTCAACCCATACTATATACAATCCATATTGCGTTAACAACAAATTTTGAGTGACTCAACAAAAAGCTGTAGGAATATTCATAAAAATATATCATAAATGGTGTATAGCCTGGAAATAGTCAAAATGCTTCTATCATTCATATTCTATGAGTCAAACCTATAATGACTACTTACGCTGTTCTAATCCATATCAATTAAAGGCTCTCAAAACTTTTAAACATAAATACCAAGGCTCTATTGACCATATTCATAAAAACTACTGGCTTTTCCAGCCATCACAGATAAATCGAAGGATCCCTTGACCCTAATAGTAATACACTTAAAAGCAACAGGCTCTCTTGGCCTTATCTACTTTAAACCACAGGCTCTCTTGGCCTTATCTACTAAAAACACAGGCTCTCTTGGCCTCATCTACTAAAAAAGCAGGCTCTCTTGGCCTCATATACTCTAAACTCTAGGCTCTCTTGGCCTCATATACTCAAGGGTCACTTAGCCTATATTCATAATATCATCATAGTTTACAAACAGCCTTTATATAACATGAAAAGAACAATGAATCTTTGTCTTTCAATATCGCTACATTCAAGATTGCAACAAGAAGCCACTTGACAGAACTTTAACCAAGCTATACTTATCTAAAATATGAGATAAAGGTAAAAAGACACAGTCTCTTCCAACAAGTCTAAAATTCATCCTCATGTGACACATCAATGACATCAACTCCAGCATTTTTGCCAAAACATAACAGTCCATAGATGTCTACTTTCATAATTCCTGACTGAAGTGACATTTGTCGACACATTTGTTGAACAGTTATTCATTTCAACAATATTTAAACGCAATAATTATGACCCATTTATCCTAATTCTGACATCCAAATGAACTTGAGTTAATCCAAATCTCACAGCAAATATAAATCCAGCGTCTAATCATACAATATCTTGCAGCATCATACTATATAATATATATTAATCCATATCCTAAGTTGTCTGGGTACCATCCACAAAAACTTGAATTAATCCAACTATTCACTGTAGTTTTCAATAAATAAATCCAAATTCTCTTCTACTTGAACACGTGTAGATCAGGTGATGATGAAGTCCTGAGGTACTCCAAATTATCAGTACATGTAATAAAATGTATGATCCGCATAGATGAAAGGGTTTGAGCATCCAGTATAAGTCAGTGGATAATACACTTACAGCAAAGCCACAAACAAATATAAATATTAATTTAAATTGTAATGTTTGACTACTTGAGTGATTAAAAGTGACGGTCATAAACAGCAATAGATTGAACATCCATATTTGCTTTAAATGGCCATAAAACAATCTAGTCCTTAAAGGTGCTATCAATTGCTAATCGTATCACTTGTGTTAGCCCATAACTTTTCAGTTTATGGCCTAATTGTTTATCAAATATCTGGAGTAAAAGTCATAAAAATGTTCTGAAATCAAACTTATGATTGAGATGTATGACACACTTTTTGATTAGTACTAATTATCCTTTGTTCCGTATCACTTTATCCACACTTAACATATCACATAATAAACAGTTTATGGCTGATAGCAACCACACGATGTATCATTTTACGATTTGTGTCAAAGTCAAGCAGATACTTGATATCCAATATGTACAGTTTGATAGTAGTCATAATTATCATCTATACTGTATTATATTCTGTGTTTCCTGTCACAAATGACAATTTATGACACATTCTTGAACAGTTATCCATTTCAACAATATTAAAACACTATAATTAATGGCCTCTTCGTCTTAATACCATCCAAATACACTCAGTAGTTCCAAATAACAAAAACCACAAAATCTCTGCAATAGTTATCTTGACGTTATCCTTCTACACACATTATCACACAATGAAAAATCTCTAACAACAAGGTCCAATGTTCAGCCCATGGCGAATCATAACTAAGAATTAGAAGTAGCCCCAGAAGTTACAAAAGTCATACATTGTCAGTTCAAATATAATCCAATATCTACAGTCCAATCATTTCAACATTCATCCACCATCCGTTTTTCTCACATCCATTGTTGGGTTCTTTGTTTTTCGCATTATGCCACCCTCTGGCCATACGGGACTCCAGGGTCTCTACTGGTGAAGACCAACACTCATAGGTTATGGGAATAACATCTCCCATGTAGTTTGCTCCCTTTTTAAGTTTTAGTCTTGTGACATGGTTCGTAGTGGACCAAGCTTTGTGAACAAGCCGTTTTACATGCTTATTCTTGCTTAGCTGGGCTGAAGGCTTGTTGCGTTTTTCCTTGTAGACTCGTAGACGTGGTTTGTTAACTCTTACTCGATTCTTCACTTCAAACGATTTCAGTGTTTTCTTTGCCATTATGGCTAATCCCCTCTGCGTTGCATATGATGTGACCACAGGGGTACGGGGTAGTTTGCACTTGTGCCTGCATTACATGGTTTTCTTCTGAAATTACACCATATTTCTCTGTGTCACTGTTTTCCAACAGAACCACCCCTGCCTTCTCTGTGTCGGACCTTTCTACTGTAGAGTTGTCAGAGTCTGCATTTATTGCTTTGTGAGTTTCCAGCAAGTTTTGAGAGGGGCTCACATTCAATGTCTCATCTTCACTGCTCATCTTGGCATCATGGCGAGTAAAAGCAGATTCAAATTTTGGTGAGGATGGAACGGCTGTACCCCCTGCATTACCACTGTTATTTTGCAAAGTGGCATTCAGTTCTATTCTGAGTCTACGTACTTCTTGGTCATACTCCTTTATCTCCATACCAATTTTTTGCTCTTCTGGAAATGCTCATTACACTTTCTTACATGTATTTTCTGATTGTTCATCTTCAGCCTGTTGATTTCCTCGGCCATACTGTTATACCTAATCCTCTGCTGTTTAGGAAATTCGTACAATTCTTCAAATAGGTCATTTGCTTCCTTCAATTCTTTGGTTTCATTTTCAGTTAATACTTTTATTTTAGTTCCTAATTCGGTAATCCTAGTATTTATAACCGAGTCCTCCATTTCTTGAGTTGTGTTCACTTTCTAACAGAAGGTTCCCAGATTCGTTTTTAAGAAAACATATCTATAAAATCCTGGACACGGCACCAATGTAACAAATATTTGGGGTAAGATGTAATGTTGTGGCTCGTGTCGTCTAGTGGCAGTAACATAAAATGTTAGTTTGATTTCTATTTCTTTTATTGTTCATTGATTAATATAACTTTACATGTCCTAAGTAATTTCCTGGTTGTAACCTCTGCAAAACCACACTGTCTCTAATCAACTCTAAAATCAACTTTCACATTTCAAACTGAATCTTACTCTGCAAAACCACACTGTCTCTAATCAACTCTAAAATCAACTTCGCTGAGGCTACACAATTCTTATTTATATACAGCCTGTTTTTGGCAAAGAGCCAGGTTGGCAAATAGCCAACTGGCACCAGGCCAACTGGGCAATAAGCCAACTGGCACTGGGCCAAATGGATAAATAATCAAATATACAATAAAAACATGGGTTCAAAGCAAGGGGAGATCTCCGACCACTCCAGGAAACCCACTAGATCAAAGTACTTATCTTTGTTACAGTTGGTTTCCTAGAGGTGTGAAGTGACATGGATGGTCTTATGTAAAGTTACAATTAAATTGAATGATTAATCCCCAAGAGCAAATATGC